TTAAGGGGAAGAGACGTTCAACGACCCGTAAAAAAACCCGTTTTCATTTGGATATTGTGAGACCAAATTGAGAGGAGCCAAACAAAAACTGTCGCCAATCCGTGCATGCCAGAAAACGAGCTCGAATGAGGACTATGGGTAGAATATGAGTTCGATCAAAACAGATCGAGCTCGATTACTTATCCGCCTTCGGATCATCAAACTGTACAGATCAATCCTACCCTGCCGTGTTTCATTTCCAGCTCCATTACTGAGCTTTAATGTTTTAATCATTCAATTGATCCGATGATTCAATTTCGAGCTCGATTGGTGTTAATCGAGGTGGATTACTTGATCGTTCTTGTTAAAACTGCCACAGTGTACGATTGATTATTCATACTCTATACCTGATTAACGTGTTGGATTGCCCAGAAACGTAAATTGATCCCTTAAAAGGTTCTAAGTTCGCGACGACAAGTTTGCTGGAACATGGCCACTCTAGCTCGCCCCAGGCTCCCTCCCGTATTGAGCCTCGATTAAAAAAGCGAGGCTCGATTGGAAAATCGAGGCACGATTGCATAATCGGGGCACGATTGCAAAATCGAGGCTCGATTGAATAATCGAGGCTCGTATATGATCAGGTTTGGTTGAGTAAAAAAGTTGATGTTTCCATTCTCTTTTGAAATTATTGCAAGGCATATATTTAAGATAAGTGGGTAAAGTTTCCCAGATCTTTGAAACAGAGAATATAAAAGATGATTTTCCCTGTTGGTGGATACTCTTGGTCTAAAAAAATTATTATTAGTAGCAAATCTTATATTATAATTATGTTTTTCAGATGCTGGGGTCAGGATATCAAGGAAGATATTTGGAATGCTATCACTTTTAATATTAATCTTATAAGTAAGACAGGATATTCTGAATTTATAAATAGCTTCCAACTTTAGAATTCCCAATAGTTTATAATAGGGATTGGCATTCTCTCTAGCATTTGCAAAGAAGATGCTACGAAGACATTTGTTCTGCTTAATACAGAGGCATTTTAAGTTAGTAACACAGCCTCAAGTAGTTATACCATAGCTTAGATAGGGATATATCAAAGCATAGTATAATTGCTTTAACATATTAAATTCGACATAATGTCTCAATCTTCCAATGTTTCTTGCTATTTTATTGTTTATATGTTGTATTTGCGGTTGCCAATTTAGGTGCTTATCGATATAGACTCCCAGGTATTTTATATAGATCTTTAATACAATGTTTTCAATATTTATCGTGGGGTGGTATCTAGAAGGTGAACTTAAAATGTAATTAGTTTTGGCAAATTTAATATACAACTTATTGAGTGCATAGTATTATTAATTTGTTTAAGTTCATGATTTATAACAGTTTCTAGATGATGTGGGTTGTCACTTGTAAAAAACAAGTCAGCATCATCAGCAAAGATCCGCACTGAGTAAATAATTAACATAGAGTAGAAATAAGAATGGACCTAGAGTTGAGCCTTGGGGTATACCACCTGTTATATTTTCATTGGAAGATCTATTGGAATCAATTTTGACATATTGGTTACGATATTGAAAATGACTCTCAAACCATTTATGTGAGACTCCTCAAACGCCATATAAAGAGAGCTTAGACAGTAGAATGCTGTGACTTACTGTGTCAAAGGCCTTTGACAAATCAAGAAATAGACCACATGTGATTTGTTTTCTATCGATTGCTAGCTTTAAATTGTCTGTAATCTCAAGAATAGCCTGTTCAGTGGAGTATCCTTTCCTGAATCCAAATTGATATTTATATAGGATTTGATGTTTTTCTATGAAGGAATATAGTTGATTGTAGACTAGTCGTTCAAGTATCTTAGTGAATGGTGAGAGAGTTGCTATAGAGCGATAATTGCTGGGGTATGTAGCATCTCCATTTTATATACTGGAGACACCTGAGAGACTTTTAATATATCAGGAACAAAACCAGTTTCTGTAGACTGGTTGTAAATATATGTTAGAAGTATTGACAATGGTTGAGCAGCTATTTTGATAAATTTGCTAGGGATATCTAGGGATGACCTGTGGTCATTTAAGCATTTAAATAATGAGCAGACTTGGGTTTCAGTGACACAAGATAGAAGAAAGCTGTGTACCTGGGTTGATTTAATGTACTGGGTAGGATCTCCTTCAAGGTGTCCAATCTTGTGGGCTAGATTTGGACCTACATTGTCAAAATGTTTGTTAAATTGATCTGCAATATCAGTTAATCTGTGTAGACTCTATTGTTATGCACGATTTTTTAAATAGGGTTCTGCCCCTTATGGTTGCGGTTTATCATTGTACCAATTAACTTCCAAGATGCCATTAGATTATTCTTGCATTGGTCAAAGGGCTGAGAAAAATAGGTCTTCTTACTCACACTTTTAAGCCAGTTTAGTTTATTAGCAAACTTTTATATTTCGTCACTTTATCCGGATTATTAGAAAGAAAATGTGTTTTGTACATAGTGTGTTTAGTTTTGATTGAATTTAAAATGCAATTTGTTATCCAGGGCGTAGTAGATAATTTTTGTTTCCTTCTGGACATACGTCGGATAGGTGCCTGTCTATTATTGATTGATTTGAGAAGATCAATTGTTTTAGATGGTATCTTATGCAAGTCTACACATTCACTTTTGATAGCATTCCAGTTGATTGCATTGATATCCTGAAGATAACATTCCTGAATGAAATTGGAATAGTCTCTATAGCATCTATCCAGGTTTTGCCTTTTTTTAACTGGTATATCTACAATACAAATGAGTGGAAGTTGGTCCGAGATATCAACAGTTAAAATCCCTGAGAAAACATTTCTTGAGCTATTGGTGTAAATATGATCAATTAGTGTAGCAGTGTGGTAAGTTAGTCGTGTTGGTTTTGTTACTACAGGTAATAGACTATTAGAGTACAACATATCAAGATAAGCTTCTGTAGGGGGATGAGTATTACATTTAAAGAAATTCCCAAATTAAACAAGACTTACCTGTAAGTTGAAGTTTGATTGGAATTCTACCGAGCCAAGAAGATACTGAGGGATTAGGTGAGATTGAGCACGTAACCGAGACCCATGTTTCAAAGTGTGGACGAAAGACTCCAGTAGTAAAATTTAGGGAGGGACATAAGAGGTGGGCATCAGAAGTTATTTGCAACCAGTTTTTAGAAAATTTTTTCAATTGGCCTGCTTGAAATGATTTAATCAGTGTTTGCAATTTATCCATAGTGCAATTTAAAAATACATCCCAAACACAATGAGGTCTCACCTCGGTTCAGGCTGTGATTGAGCTATGAGTGATTGCTCTGCTCTTTCTTCTTGTTGAATTTGCCTCTCTACCGCCCCTTGTTTTTGTACCAGTGGTGTGGCTTGTTGTGATACTGGTGGGGACGATTGTACAAAAAAGATTTGCCTTTATTGGAAAATTTGCTCTTGCCTTTGTAGTGAGATAATTTACCCGTCATTTTGTCCATTTCGTTAAGATCATTCACCCCCTTTGCAAGGTCATCCCCAATCAGGAATTTTGTTGCTGTCAATTGTGAAGTGCACAACTGCCTTTATTCTGGGTTAAGATCAGGCCTAATTTCTAAGCGTCTAAATTGATGTAGCTCTTGCTGGGCTTGCCCAATAAAACGTACTGAGTCAAGTACTGTCTTAGCAATATCAGATATATTCTTTTCTCGCTTAGATTTATCATCTTTGGATTTGTCATCTCCTACTTTTAGCAATGTATCTGTTACAAGGCCTAGACTGGTCACTGCCTTACACAGAAATTTTTCAACTTTTTGTAGTTTGGTATCCTTTGACCTTGTGTTTGAGGTCAATTTTGTCCAGATTTCTGGGTTCACCTTGGGCACAATATCCGATTCACAGTTCTTAGATCTAGGATATTTATCCCTAGCTGCCTTTAGTTTGTCCTCAGGCAGTGCCTTGGTCATAGACCCGTTAGCAATGGCCGCCAGCTCTTTATCAATGTCTGGCCCGGTGGTATCATCGTTAAATTCGTTCACTAGCTCTTTTAAGAAAGAGTTTTCTTCGTCGTGTTTTTCCCCAGTGCTTTCACCAGCGAGCAGAAGATTTGCAATAGCATCTTCTACAGCGTCCGAGTTGTCGGATGTACGTTGCCTTTTTGGCGGGTTACCTTCTGGCTCTGAATTTTCAGGCTCAGATTCCGACATGCTGGTATCGTCGGCCGTCTCACTTGTCATGGCCGCTACGGATTCATTCACAGAATTCAACGTGTTTAAGATTTGTGATTTTTCCTGTCTGGATTCCTGAATGAAATTTTTCATGGAACCCACTAGCTCTTTAAGCAGAGCATTTGTTATATCCATCTCAGGCGCTTTCGCCTGTTCCCTTTTGAGGTGCTTTCTAAAGCTGTAGGATTGACCGTTGAAGCCTTCGACTTGGGAACTGCACGACTTCTCGCGCCTTTTTTAGTTAGTGGTTGTTGAGGAGCTTGCTCCCCTAAATCACATGGGTGATCCACTTGTGGATCAGTATCTCTGAGTAGATCGTCTGCATTGAAGGATTCGTGTTGCTGAGTCGTAGTGTGGCTTGCAGAACGCTCTCTTCGCTGTGAGGGAGAAGAACTCTCGTCCGCCATCTTTGATACAAAAGCTCGAAAAATAAATCAAGGATTCGAATAAACTCTCGATGATCGGCTCCCAAAAAATCTTGGACACGTAGCTGGAAACTTTCCGGACGTAGCGCTGATAAATACAGATATATTTTACGGGATTTAGCAAGAGTCGGAAAAATTACGTCTTCACCACATGGATCTCAATCGCTCATGGGTCTCGGTCACGTGCTCAATCTCACGTGATCCCGAATGGTATCGGATTGGTGAGGTAGAATATATATTCATATCACCAAGGATTTATAATTGGTACTTATTAGCATTGAATTGTTTAGTTGTCTCATTAAATTTATCTTTAAATTCTTCGATGTTTGCTCCTGGGTGTTTATGGATACAGCCAACTAAGATGGGCTTTTTGTTAGAAGACTGAGCTATTTCAACCCAGACAGATTCTACTAGGGAGATATCCAACCTGATATCAGGCCTCGGGACTGATTTTAGAGATTTGCTAATATAAAGGGCTGCCCCTCCTGCAGAGGTTGGAGAATCGCTATGGAAGATCCTATAGCTGGGTAGTTCAATATTAACTATGTTATTCTTATTCAGCCTAGTTTCTGTGATTCCTATGATATCTGGTCGTGTATTTAAGGAACATAGGAGATCGTCAAGTAGATTTAAATAGTTAGGTAAGCTTCTGATATTACAGTGAAGGAATTAAATAGCATTTTTCCCTATTTGCTTAGGACTGTATTTAAACTAGGAATATCCTAGTAGTGAGATTCAGGACTAATTAGCATATGATCAGGGACAGCCTCATCAAATTTATCAGGATTAGGTAATATGTTGTATAAGTCAAGGTCTTTCAAATTTTGAAGTTGTAAATAACTTGATCCTTTTAGAATATGAAACTCTGTATCATTTAAGCTAAAAAAGGGTAACGCTTGAAGGCTATGGCGAGTCATCATAGTCAATATCTGAGTGAGTTGTAAATAAATGTTACAATAATGAAGAATAATGAATAAGTGCATGAGGGTTAAGAAAAGGAAAAGATGCAAAACTTATGAGTTGCTTATCTTATCGAGGAAGTCTTGAAACTCTTCGTGGGTATTAAATGCTTCGGTTCTTGAAGATTCGCTGGCCTTTAGTAGGATTCTTCCGTTTGCATTCCAGAGATATTTAACATTGTTCCTTCGTTTGAATTCATTTATGCGTCCAAATAACCGTTTGCGATAACTGGTGAGGGATTCGTTGATATGGATTTTGTTATTGCTAGCAGCGATATGAACTGGGTCGTTTTGCATTGATGGCAGATGCGTGATATTCTTTCCAGCTAGATTTCTACATTTCTTGTACATTTCTTCCCTTTTAGCTCTTTGTACAAATTTAACGATCATTCAATGTTTAGCTTTCGCAGTGTCTGGTAGTCGATGAACTGCTGCAATATGATTATCATCGATTTCGACATCAATCAGGGATCCAATATCTTTTACAAGTTGTTTAGGGCTGTCATCTGATAAGACAGGGATGCCTGTTATTTCAAGGCAGTCTCTTCTGGAGTATCGTTGCATTTTATCAATTACACAGTAAACTCGATACATGGAAACTTCCATAGAGGATGGAACTGAGCTAAAGCTTTCACGCTATCTGCCAGTTTGTACTATGTCTAACTTTTTTTCGTTAATTAAAAGTGAAAGTTCGGAACAAGCGAGCCGGAAAATAGCACAAGAAGAACCAAACAGAGGTTTTTAAACTTGCCAAGCGCCGTAATTTGCAGTATTTTAACGTGTGAAGAGACGAAAATCCTCACTCTCAGTTGAATTGTAAACTTATGTAGAGTAATCAAATCAAACACAGCTAGCAGTCTTATAGTATATATAGTTTCGTGTTTAAAACAAACAGGCATAATGAAGCATAAAATTATATCTAAACTGGTATAACTGTTAAAAATTCAAGCAAATCATGACCATATCAAAGAGACTGCGATCACGTTGAGGTCCATCGCGGCTAGTTCAGATTCCATATCAAGATTAAAAGACCTTTAGGAAAAGCTTTAAATTGAGCCCACATCGCCCAGAATTCAGCGACACATCCGAGTCCTTTTGGGACGCCAAAGAAATTGTATGGCGGCCAAACTATTTCTTTATGAAAGAAATGTGCAAGACTGTGAACTTTGATGCCTTGTGAACTTTGATGCTTTGAAATTTTTGACAGCTTCAGTCTTGTTCAACCAATCAGATTACTTGAACCGTTCTAACGCGGATTCTGAGTGGCTTATTGTAGCCTCCTTTATTAGAGTATTGAGCATATTGAAGACTCTGAAAATAAAGTAAAGTTTGTTAAAAAATTGTAATTAATGGGTGAGAAATTTAACGGATTCTGTATTATAAAGTAATTAGATATGCTTTGATTGAGTTGTGTTCTGTTGTAAAGAACTTAGGAAGTGGTTAAAGCACTCAAGAAATGGGGAGAACCATTCAACTGCGTCTCGTGTTCTTCCCTACCCTTCTTTCGTGCTCTAGCTACTTCCTGTGTGCGCGTAGAATATAGCTCAATTGGTTAGAGCGCCGGATTGTGTTGTGCGGAAAGTCGAGGGTTTGAGACCCGGCCGGACCAATACTCATGGTTTTAAAATAACTGAGGAGAATCTGCCACCTTTCTATGACAACAAATGAACAGATATTCTAGTCTTCTCGGATAAGGACGAATAAACCGTAGGCCCCATCTCCTACAGGGTTGGGAAAAGGAGATGTTAATTTCCCGTGCACGAGACTACTGTGTGGTGGATGTTCTCCCCTGGGGTGGAATGGGTGGGTATTGACCCTGAAAAGCCCTTATGGGGAGTGGTCATTTAACCTATGTAATCTTTACAACACAACAGAGCAACGTCAAGGCTTTTCCATTCGTTAAATAAATTTCATGACCTTTGAAAGCATATCACATAAGTTTCTGAATCATCTCTTAATTAAATTAAGAGTCTATCTCATTACAAGCATAGAAAGTACTCTTTATTTGAGATTAGTGGTCCACTATGCTGGGGCGGAGTACCCCATCGCATGTCAATACATCAAAAGGCTAACCCCCCCCCCCAGCACTTCATCAGGCTAGAAAGAGGCATTTTAAGAGTCAAGTATCGCGCCCAAAACACAACACAAGCCAAGTCTCGAGCCCAAACCTCTCAACCCAGAGTCCAGCACACAAACCTTGAGGCCACTACGTCTCCCACTTACAAGCGAAGTGTTCAACTAAAATTCGATAGTGTAGGACGATCTTGCAACATTTGAAGTTTGTTTGTGAGATGGTCACTGGTCACTGATGTCACTCCATCACACACATACACAGGTAGTTTGCTTCTCTTCAAGCCAAACAAATACAGGCGTACACTAATTTTTCATACAAACAGCAAACAAAAAGGAAATACCAGCCCTTCTTAAAATCATATATTGTAAATTATAATCATCTGTACCTATTCTAAGATACCGCCGCCCATGCCAGTTAGCCCAATGGATAGTGCATTGGACTGTTGTTCGGGAGGTCGAGGGTTCGAACCCCGGCCGAACCAACACTCAAGGTCTTAAAATAATTTAGAAGAATTTGCTACCTCTCTATAACATCAGGAAATGGTTAGATATTCTAGTCTTCTCGGATAGGGACGAATAAATGGAGGTCCCGTCTCCTGCAGGGTTGGGGGTAGGAGACGTTAATTTCCCACACACGAGATTGCTGTGTGATGGATTTCCTACCCTAGGGTAGGATAGGTGGGTTTATACATTAAGTGTAAAGCGCTTGTTGATCTGTCATTGTAAATAGCACTCTATAAGAAATAAATTACTTACGTACTACATCTGGTACTACTTTCTCCCTTGCTGGTTGGCCTCTTCGTTGAGATTTTGCGTCCTCATTTTCTACCACAGATAGATATAGGGACTGATCAGAGACGATAAAAAAGTAACAAAAACTGACATTCTTCAAATTGCTTTTTTATTAAAGCTTAAAACAAGTGTGTTTCTTTTCAAATTCAAATATCGCTTCCAAGACCAAAACGACGAGATTGAGGATAACGATAATAAGATTGCCTATCACAATAACCAGATTCTCTTTCATATTGCTCCCCAACTGATTTTTTCTTGGTTCATAAGAGAAGCACTCATTATGAGGAAAACATGCAACTGGCGAACAACAGCAGTTAGGTACTAATAAGATTTCAGAACTCGGGCGAAAATTTCACTGAGATTCTAGCGACTTTGTAAATTGACCGAGTGAAAATCGGAAAATGAGGCACATGGTCGAAAAATTGAAAACCTTAATTTTTTTCCCACAGACACCTTATAGTGAATCTAGATAGTGGCAAGGTTTTCTTTGCCAAACTTGCTTCTTTATTCTTGAAAATTCACGAAAACTGAAAGGAGCGTCGGTGGCCGTAAAATGGCGGAAATCAGTGCCCTAGGTAGAGGCAAATGAACTTTCTTCAAGAAAAGTGCAAAAGAAGGCAAGCTCATATCAATTTTATGAATTTGTAAAGGAGAGATGGAGGTATGGTTTAAGTCTAAAATGGGACCATTTTATTTAATCTGGAGCTCACGGAACACTTTTGAAAATCACCAATATTTCAAAATCTAAATATCGTATTTCGTGGCAAATTTTCAGTTATCATTTTCGCCATGCGGTATAACTCAGAATCGGGTCAGGTTAAGCTCGTGATAAGTGGAAATAGCGTTGTTCTCGAGATTATAAAAATCAGTTTGGAGCTTTTCATTTCCGCGCGGAAAACCAGGCTGAACTTTGCGAAAATCGCAAGAAGAAGAAAAACTTTATTTAAGTGTCTATGTTTTTAGCTATAAGCTAATGGGGGACACTAAAAAATTTAAAAGTCAAATACATGTACATATGTAGATGATAGTTATTTACAGTAGATAATTAAAAAAATTATAAAGTTATTTAGTTAAGTTTTAGATTTCAACGAGAGTTGAAGGGTCGACTTTTCCTATGTTTTTCTTGAACGAATTTAGAGTTTCCATCGTTCTTAGGTGTCTTGGTAACTTCGACCAGATGAGAGGTCCCATATATTCAATAGAATTCCAACCAAATCTTACAGTTTCGAATCTTGGCAGTTCAAAGTCACTGTTCCGTAAATTATATGGAGTGTTCTTTATATCAAATAAGTCAGAAATATTCTCAGGTACGAGACTGTGCTTACTTTAAACATCAAAGTGGCAATGTCTTGTAGGCGCCGATTGTTCAACGTCGGTAGTTTGGCGCGACTTAGCAGTTCTTGATAGGACGCTGATCTAGTTTTGTACACCGCCCTAAGTGCTCGCTCCTGAATCCGCTCAAGCTTTCTCCGATCCGATGCATTACAAAAGTGCCATACTAAATGACAGTAGGTTAGATGGGGCAGAATTGAAGACCTGTAAAGTGATAGTTTAGCATTACAGGGTATCAAATTGCGTAGCCGCACTAGGACCCCTACTTTTTGACTGGCCTTAGAGCATAGATCACTGATATGACTAGTAAAACTCAATTTTTCATC